TGTTCGGCGTCGCGTATTTGGTGCAGGAAGAGCGAGTGAACCGCTCAGCACCATTATATCACGCACCAAGCTCCGATGGCTGGGCCACGTGTTGCGCATGCCAGCACACCGACTCCCGCAACATGCATTGTTTGCGCGTTGTGGGTGCGGTTGGAAGAGGAGGAGGGGAGGCCAAGTGATGACTTGGTCGAGAGAAATGAAAACCCTCACTTCGAAGTTGGCGTCGTTTAGTACATCCCGACTGCCTGGCTGGGGTCCTAAAGACGGTGAACACGTTTGGTTGGACACACTTGCTGATATGGCTAGGAGCCGGCCCCAGTGGCGTTTGTGTTGTGATTCCCTTTGCCCATCCCCCTCCTGTTTAGCATCCCCCTCCAATCACGATCTCAACCGTTAGGCATAATATGATTCTCTTTTTACGGCAGCCAGCTGTTAGCTCTCCGGAACGATGTCCATCCGTTACTGGGGACTCAGCGGGCGTGCCACTGTTTGCCACTGTTTTCCTTTTCTTTTATTTTGTATTGCGGCACAATAGCTGAGGTGTTTTCCACCTCCAGCTAACGTGTAATGATGATAATGATGATTGTTCTCCCTTACTTGGAATTGGCCTATTTTCACAGCGTTCGACACAGAAATTCCCGGAGCGAAAAAGTTACAATAACAGATTTTATCAACTCAGGTCCGCGCAATGTTAGCAACTGAGAGGGTGGTGAAGAAACTGCAAACGACAACAGTAGATCGGCCATTTGCACTGATACTTCGATGCAGTACAAGCAACGTGAGCTACGGAAAATGAGAATAAGTGGGAGAGAAGAGGACCCGGCGTAAAATCCTAATGCCCTAAATAAATATTAAGGGCTAAGGCGCATAAAGTTTTCATCTTCAACATACCGTCACAAATAGGTTGCTATCGTGCAACGAAACATAGCGTCAGCGAGATAGTTTTCTTGCGTATCTCATTGCCCCGCATCATAATCAGATGAGAAACAGCATCGTAAACTAAGGAATTTGTTGCTTAAAAAGTAATTCAGCGCCGCTATATTAGTGGTCTAAATTATCCAAACAAAAAAATCAGTAGTTACAAAACTACACAATCAGTTCGATCAATCTCAGCAATCACAAGAATGCAACGAAGGGTAGATATTGGAAAAACTAGGTTATATGAGATTGAATGAGGGAATAAAATCAGCTCGATACCGATGGATTAAGCGGTCATGATAGAGTGACATCTGCTACTCTTAAAGAAGGCGCCGGTGTCTCTCGGCTCAGCCTTTCACCGAAATGTGCACGCTGTGCATCTGACAACAAAAGCTGCTGTTTTGAAGATGGGGCTAGTTTGTTAAATCCCCACATTATATTCAGAGCCTCAGCAAAAGCTACCGTTAGCCTTCTATTCATTTTCATGTTGAATCCAAACTTGTCAAGGGTGCTTTTGCAGTGAAATACGCACACGTCGTCTAAGATGTCAATTCTCCGACCGAAGTATTCTCACCCAACTTACAAATGCTCGAGTAAAGCAAAAACTTGTGATATAGAAGCAAATGTTTGTAGCTCAGGTTGTTCAGTTGGTGGTCTGAGTATTCGCTGAGTTCGACAGTTTGACTGCAAACTTGGATTGTTCGTGTTCACCGTTACGGAAGGCGTTTCAGTACAGGGAAAGCCGTTAGTGGAGACCTATAACTAATCGATTGCAAATTCATACCACAAATGTGGGTCCACACCTATCCAGGACTGGGAAATATATAGGAGTAACACTGGACCATGAGTTATCAGTCACGGCAGGGAAGTAAGTAGTAGGGAAGTACTTCGACACACCTATTAACAGAAAACTCGAAACAAACTGGTCTACGCAATTGCACGAACTAGTAGCCTGGCCTAAGCGACGGTTCACAGTGAATATGCACACGGTCAGAACAGAAACCCGAGTGGCTTTCGTGTATTCGTATCAACGATAGAAAGTCGAGCAATCAGAGTGGGATGCCCACAAACGGTTTGAATAAAATGAAAACGCAGCTAACCCGTGGATAGTCCTTACGCAACATTCACTATTCAAAAAGGAGTAAACAGAAGTCCTTAGCTACCTGTTCTACCAAGGGGTGGAGAGGCTATACTATGCTTCAGTAACTTGGAATTCCTTCGGAGCATGTCTATGTACAGAGTAACGAAGTAAGTGCAGCTGATCCGGGAAAAGAAGCCGATTAGCTAGACAGATTAAAATTCCCCAGCTGGAAAATATGAGAAGAGATGGCTCGACAAATCATTAAAAAACGTAGTACTACACTTCCGATGGTATGAAATAAGAGTCGGTTGTCTAAGATGATGTCTTCAGTCCCCCATTTACCTCACCAGTTCAGAAGCACTCGCGATCAACCACAGTGCCTCTATTCAGTGACCACCTCACGTTGTTATAAAGCTGGGACCGAGTTGGCAATACAAATTTTCCGCCACAAACAATGTAGTCGGTGCCGCACAGACACACAGTATTCGAAATTTCCGAAAAGTAGTAAGCGACTTCGATATTGCTCTCATGGTGTGTGCGAATAAACACCAGTTGGCTAGTTAGTAACAACTGGCGTTCTAATTCGGCCTCATGCTTCCACTCTGCAACCTGAGATAAAGTAGTATGCATGTGCCCTTTAAGTTTGAAGGCTCAGCGAAAAAAAGTATGGCATGTGAGCGGGACAGAGCATGGCTGGAAATCAGCAAGTGTTCCACACCGACCGAAAGGATTGCGCCGATGTGTACCATCTGGGTTTAATATTGCTGCGATAAGTCCAATTCTACTTGAACAGGTCCATCGCTCAGTGATCATAAGCGACGCAGTTAAAATATCGTTCCCTGGAGTATTATTACGTCAATAATTAGAAATAGTCTTGGTTTGAGATATGCATGAGGACAATGGGTTACCCTCTGATGGGCAGCTCACAAGCAAAACTTCCATCAGAAAACCAGAAAAGATTACTAGCGCAGTTCAATGATATAAAGTCAGCAACCAGAGAGAAGCTGTAGTTGGTACAATGAACCTGGAATGATCTAGCGAAAGAAAGGACTGTGATAAGGGTTATTTGAGCTTGTTATTCAAGAATTTCACCGAGAGGTGTAACGAATGCCGTGAGAATCGGTCTGAGGGAGAAACAGTGGGGTTCAGTGGGAAGATCAAATTAAGAAAACCAAAGGGTATCACATATAAAGCCGCAGTTCACAACTCCGGGTACTTCTTACGGCCATAAGTATCCGATAATCCCCAATAGTTGATCCGTTCGGATCCCCTGCAGTTGCGAATTCAAATAAATAAAACGTAGTAAGCGCTTTGGACTTCCCATTTAAGTTACCAGACGTAACAAATGTAGATACCGTCGCAGAATTCGAACATAATAGCCGGTATGGCGATATTTGGGTGTTGTTCCACTCAACGCTGGCATACCACGACCGCGGTTTCGTCTTGGTTTGGAATCAGCAGGTGGAGATAGCCTGAGCTGGAGTGGAACTCAGAGCCTAGTAGTTCATGGCTGATGTCCTGAACACTATGCTACTGAGATCCGCGAGCCGGTACTATGTTAGGATGCAACCATCCCGTACGCACCTGTCAAAGGCCGAAAAAACAATACCCATAGTGAAAGCAAAATGAAAGTGAGCCTCATGCTTGTCAGCCAAATTGAGGGGATGCAAGCGTCGAAAGCCCCTAAATGGAACGGGGTTCCAGGGTTTGAAACATAATCAAGGGCATCAGGGTGAAAATGACAAAGTAGAGAGAGAGGTCCCTTGCCGACCAACTCATCATACTCATACGAGTACATGGTAGTGGAGCTGAACATGGATTAGGGTGTTTAATGCAACTGTCAAATCGATAAATCCCGCGGTAATCGAAGGTGGTAGATTAATCGCAAGGAAAGGGCACCAAGGTGCAGCAATTCCACAAGTAACTAAAGGTCAACGGGTACAAATCAAATGATCGTATAATGACAGATGTGGGCCAAGGTAAGAGTTGGGGACGTGCAAATTGCTTATGTAAATCCAGTCCGGTTTGAGTCGGTGGATAAAGATAGCTTCAGCAAATGATAGATCTTTTCGGACCACATGATAATCGCTTAGGAACGGAGTAGATAAATTTAAAATCGTTTTCAGCTTGTGTGACCGTACTAAAGGGGCCGCATGACAGAGCTATTAGGGGACCAAGTTTTACCTCTGTAAAACCACAAGGGTGTACTCGCGAATCCCATAAGATAGGCGTCTCGAAGTACCACCCACGTATCGTGCACCACAGGAGCACGAGTACTAGTAAACAGGTACTGATCGAGTCAAAGCAAGTATTCTATCTTTCAAATGTTTTGCGTGTAAGGGCTTGTTATGGTATACTATGCGCAGGCGAGCTACAAAACAGATATTACCAACAGCGTCTTTCAGGCGTTTCGACAAGGCACAGGGTACACTCACCCTTGGTGGTATTCTCTTATGTCATTTCAGATGCCTGAGGATCCATTTACTCAGAGCGCCGCTGATCATCTGCAGTTCCTCTGTAGCGGTGTCCGGTCAGTAGTAGGGGATTTATTGTCGTTGCAGAAGTTCATCGCAGCCAGACAGCCATTAGTCCGGTGTGGAAATGTGACAGCGTCAGTTAACGCTTCGGTCATTGAATTAAACATCATAATCAATACTCAAACGGACTCGGCACATTTGGCATGTAATCCCTGATATGAAAACGTAAGTCTGAGGGTGTGACGGTAAAGAATTCTTCGCTCAGTAAGTGGTTCACTCTGATTCCTGACAGCTCAACAAGGGGGCCGTTGCGACACAAATATGTCGATCGGACGGTAGAAAATAACTAGTAAAGAAGGGTAAATGGGAGCCGCGTGTTCTAATTGATACAACTGTCTTAGTAACAATATGGCGTATAAACCGAGTAAATGGACTCCATTCAGTCGACCTCAGAAAAGGGAATTAAATATTGAATGAACATGAACATACAGAAATTTATGGAGAGAAAAACGTCAAGGGCTCACCTTTCTCCTGGGTATCCTTCGGCATATTTATTCGATAGACATGACCCAAGACATTCCAGAACGCTTCTAGATGTGAAGTTCTGTCCCAATTAAAATCGGCTTCAAAGAGCTTACTTCTGATGCTATTAAATCTAGAGAGCACCGCTGACGCTTCTTCTCTTCGGAGATCAAATTCCAAAGTTCGGGATCGGAACTCCTCAGGGACTCTCTCCCTGACCAAGAGGAAAATCTGGTCGCCCGAAACTGCAAGAGATTTAGCACAACCTCAAAATTCCTTACCTTTATGAAGGACGAAATTGTACGCTTCATAGCAGAGGCGCAACCACGAAAATATTAATTGAGCTAATGAATGAGAAAAATAATGGGAAAATATCAAATAACTGCATTCAGGCATGCGCTTCAACATGCACAATTAATTAGTTACGATGCAAGCGCTGAAGTCCAACAGACTCGACTACACGGTTCAAATTAGTAGTGATGATGACAGTTAACAGTGAAGAAAAGGAATGAAGAAAGTGGAAACGAAAGTCGGGAAATACTCCGTAACCGTTTGATAGGGATGTTAACAACTAGAAGCTATATGCCGAAGGCAAGGGAGAAATATCAGAGAGAGACTACTAAGGTGACAGACCCAGATCGAAATCTATGCACAATAGGAGTCAATCTGATCATGCCTATTGGGCAAACTCGTTTCGCTTCATCATTCACCGGCCATCGTCCGCTTTCAGATAATAGGGTACACTATCGATAGAAAATTATTAATGTAAGCGAAGATCAGGCATACAAATAATGGAGTAAGTCCAGGAGAGCATGCAACTCGACACCATGTTTGTTATCAAACAGCGAAACAGGAACAGGGCAGTACGGGCTCTTCAAGTTCGGGAGGGCTGGAACGATAGGATGAAGTGTTTCTTCTTGAGAGGGTGGTTGATCGGGGGGCTGATAGGGGGTGCTCAGACTTCTTGATGGATCTCAACCGAAAACACTCGAATCACACTTTGGTCCACCAAGTTAATGTCCCCGTTCCCTACATTAGCATTCCCTGCTATGCCAGTTACGTTAAGTAAAAGAGGAATATAAATCGAAGGGAAAGAGCAAGGGAAACTAGTTGAAAGAAAAGGATAATACCAATGATGAAGGTGTAATGACGTGAAGATTTCCATGTAGGATTTGTAAAATATTACCAAAATTCCGTTTCATTTGCACCCAGTGAAATTAAGCGGTATGTCTGCCGCTTGCTGACAACTTTTGTCTATATACACACTTCCAGAATTCCACCGCCGGAGTTAACCTCCTATGCTACCGGAACGTCTCTTCTTTTCTCTACTTAGCTTTCCTTGAGTGCCACTTTTAGCTTAGCGAGCCTGTATGTTCCGACAATAAACGTATACATCAGAACAAGAGTCAGCGAACAAGCTCGTTTTCGGTGGATCTCGTCAGGCTGGTACACCACAAGTGGTGGTGTGCCAGTGTGTGGTGTACCAGCCTGACGAGATCCACCGAAAACGAGCTTGTTCGCTGACTCTTGTTCTGATGTCTACACCTGGGATATTTGCTCACAATAAACGTATACTTCGCCCCTCTTTTCAATTTCCATCGGTCGGCTGGTTGTGCATATATAGCGTTCGTCCATCGGTTTCGCCATAATTGGTGACCCCGCCTATGAATACTTGTGGTAAGCCCAGTACTAACCTTGTTTGAAGATTTAGCCGTATATCCTGTTCGTTTTCTTCATTTCCCGTATATTTCACTGACTGGTTAGTTTTCGACAACTGCAATTTTTTCTCTATTAGTGTTAAACTTACAGACGCTGAGGCTTCAGTTAGTGGTGTTACCGTACCAATTTCACCTTTTCATGAAGGCAACCTGAAAAGCTGGTTTGCCCAACTCGAGTCCATCTGTTCGTGTCATGTCAGATCTGAGAAAGCCAAGCTTCACCACTTCGTCGCAGCACTTCCTCCGCAGATCGTCGATGATCACGATGACATTTTAAATCTTCCAGAATCGCAGAAAACTTACGCGGAGATCAAAACTGCCGGTTTAAAACTAGGTGGTATTTCCGACCGTCAATGCATCACGATGATGCTAACCGAACCAGAGCTAGGTGTTTTGAAACCATCTCAGCTCCTGCGTAAGATGTAGAGTCCAGCCAAACCAGACAAAGTTGATTATTTGTTTCCCAAAGAGATATGGCTTAGCCGCCTCCCACGCGAGATGTGTAGCATCCTTCACGCTAGTGCAAACATGTCACTACCTCAGCTAGCCGAAACGGCTAACGGTATCTGGGAAGCTAACGGCCGAATCGCGCAAATGCAGTCAAAGCCGTAAGATAACGTCGCGCAATTAGCATCAACCGTTGTCACATTAAACAAACGACTCGACGAAATAGTAGCTTTAGGAAATGCAGGAAAGAACCGCTCTAGGAGCCGATTCTGTTCGTCACGTTCCAAGTCTCCTTCGCGATTCCCTTCTAAGACATCTACCCATTGCTGGCACCAGAGACGATTTGATGAGAATGACAAATCTTTTCGCCCACCCTGCTCCTCGCGCAAGTCACAGGGAAACAGGCCGACTAGCACGTAGGGGTGACAGACGTTGCTGGTCGTCACAGTAGTCTTTTCTTCCTCAACGATCGAGTAACGGGAGTTCACTAATTATTGGACACGCACCGAAGTTAGCGTCCTTCCTCGCGATAAAAAGGACCCGAATGAGAAGGCGACTAGTTCATTGCGCGCAGCCAACGGTACGACCATACCACCTTGGTTTCACTTCCAGCCGACGTCTGTGTGCGCGAAGAGGACATAGTGAGGTCAGCGATGAGCAGGCATGCGGAGAACGTGCCCAAGCCACTGAAGTCTGCGCAGAGAAATTATAATGCTCAGTGGCCGACAAAGCCTGTCTGATCTGAAAATCCTTCGTCGAATACCTTCATTCCTAGTGTGATGTTGCCATCGTACACTAGCAATGCTCCGAAGGCATCGGTGATCAATATCCTCAATATCCTTTACAAGAATAGGACGTCTCGCAGCCATAGAGGAGAAGCGCTCTCACTGTGGCATTGTAAACTCGACCCTTCAGAGGTATACTCAGATCACCTCGGCGCCAGAGATGGCGGAGATTGGCAAAAGCAACCCGAGCCTTGGAAACGCGCAAAGAAACCTCATCCGTTAAACCATTAGCACTGAGGCAGATTCCGAGGTAAATGAACTTGTCTAACACTTCCAATGAATGACCTGGAAGGGTAAGGTCAGGAACAGCGCTTGGCCAGTCCTGCAGTAAAATCTTGCATTTCGATGGTGCGAAGGTGATTCCAAACTGGGCGATAGACATCTCCAATCTACACAAAACATTTTGGGCGGCCTGTGAGGAAGCACAGATTACGGCGATGTGGTTTACTCTAAACCCAGAAGTCGGCCCGTCGGAAGCAGCTCAAAACCACTGGGTTCGCAGTTCTCAGAGCACTCTCCAAGATTGCGTCTATAGCGGAATTGAACCAGGGAGATGCTGGGCAACCCTGTTTCACGCCACTGATGGTACCAAAGGGGGGCGAAAGTCCGCTGTACACCCGCATTCGGTTTAAGGTTTGAGAGTAGATGGCTTGAAGTAAGGTAACATACATCACCGGCACTCCCCTTCTCAGTAGACAACTCCAGAGAGCAACTCTGTCGACTGAGTCAAACGCAGCTCGTATGTCTAGGAAGACAACGATTGTTGGCTGGCCAAATATTTGACGACGACCGAGTATTTGGCGGAGTGTAAGGATGTGATCGATGCAATTCCGGCCAGTGCGGAACCCAGCTTACTGTTCGCGTATGTTCCCTTCGCGTACCAGGCTGATGTTGTGTTGTGTTTTCTTTTATTATTTCGGTACCTTCTTTTGAGTCACATGGTTTCTGATGGCTTTATGTCTATGCGTAGACTGTTTATATATATATATATATATATATATATATATATATATATATCGAGAGAAAGAGAGAAGCAGAGCTGCGAGCACCTTGGAAGCAACACAGATGAGACTAATCCCTCTGTGGTTGGCGCAGTCAGTTCGGGTAACCTTTATGAAGACGGGCACGATATCCGCTAGGCTCCAAGCAGGTGGGATAACTTCAGTGACCTAGATCTCTCGGAGGAGGGAAATTAACTCTTGAACAAGTGACGGCCCGCCACCTTTGAAAAGAGCCGGAGGAAGTTTACCAGGGTCAGGGGCTTTGTAGCGCTTTAAGAGGCGAAGCTCGTGAGCAACCTCAGCCTCGGATGGTGGTGAAGAGCCAACATACAAGATAACGCGTTGGGCTCCAGAATGGGAATTCATTGGTACTGCTGGCCAATTAAATTGCTGCTCGAAGTGCTCGGCCCAACGCTCGAGTCGGTGTTTTCTAGTGGATTGGTTCACCATTGGTTTCGCATAACGCTTCGCTTACAGTCGGCCTTTTGCCGCCAGTAGATCGGATCAAGAGGAAAAGCTTACGGAAATTCCCCGAGGTGGCCACTTGCTCCAGCTTAATGACGCGCTGCGTCCACCAGGCCTCGCGATCTTCCTAGAGAAGCTGTTTGAGCTCAGTGTTAGTAGTCTTGCGTAGTGAATGGTATTTACCGCTAGCAGGAATTGTTCGACGAGCTTCGAGAAGTTAGAGGGATCGTGCAGAGATCCAGTGGTTGACAGGACTACTGTGAAGCCCCAGACAAGGGTTGAAAAGTTGTACATGGCGCCGCGGATATGTGCCCAGTGTGTTTCAATGTCTGCGCATGAGGCAGTCTTCAGCCGTGATGCCAAGGCAATCTGAAATGTGAGGAAAAGGTTCGGGGCAGAAAGCTCCGCTAATTCAGGCTGTTTCTGGCGATGCAGCGCGGTCACCAAAACGTAGCGCAGTCTTGGCACACACCAGCGCGTGATCGGAAATGAGATAGGTACTCCAGGTTGATTTGCAATCCTGTATGCTAATCCGCCAGCAATAGCTAATGGCGATGTGGTCAATTTGTGTCCACGGCTGGCCAGGTGGTGGGGGTCTCCAGGTGGCGCGTTGACGTCGGGATCCCCTAAAACTAATGCTTGACAGAAAGTGGCCGTGATCGGCGCGAAGTTGAAGTAGTCGATCACCGTTGTCAGTTCTGCGAGTGCCATGACCATGTTGATCACCGAATTCACGTTCGTCAACTTCAATTTTACCGACCTGCGTGTTTAAGTCCCCGGCGAGCACCACAATGTCGGTACGGTGTTTTCTTCGGAGGTCGGCCAGTTGACCATAAAACTCATTTTTAACTGACTCCGGGCTGCAATCTGTGGGAGCGTACGCTGCGACAATGAATAGACAGTGTCTGCTGGTTTCGCACCTGGACAGT